ATCCTGAAAATCCAGCTCTAGGTTAAATCATTGATTCCACTACTTCCCATTATTATTCTCCATTCTAATTTACAGGTCCTTTTTCATCATAAATTTCACATTAATTTAATATACCCCATCCTTCTTCTTAACTTATTATGACTTGTCCTCCAACTACCATATATAAATATTAATTTGTAGTTCCTGGTTTTAATAGTTCAAAAACTTTGTGATTGTGTCTTGCAAAATTCATTTAAGGTATTACAGATACTTTCTCTCCCTCTATTTCATTACCATCTTCATCCTCTCTTGTTAATCCTTATCTCCACAATTCATATTTAATTCTATGTCCTTCCATATGATCATGAAGCTAAATTCTAAAACAAAAGGCACTGCTAGAAATTGAATTATTATTATTATCTTAATAAGCACCACCTGTAACTAGAAATTCTGCTCCATTCTACTTTTTTAGGTATGAAGAAAAGTAAGGAACACATGGTGGTTAATCTTTGCTTATGAAAGCCCATCCAGCTAATATATTTAGTATATATTTATATTACGTTTAACATCACCAGTAGCAAAATTAAATCCTATTGATGGATAAAATTATTCTTCTTATTTTTCTTAATCTACAAAAGGAGGATGGATTACAGTAGTGAATGTAAAATGATTTTATTCCTGCTTCATTTTTAATTTTAATTTATATATAAATTGCAAATCATCAATGTACGTTATTACTAAAGATATGTAAGATAATTATTCATATTAATTCATATAAATATCTATATATATAAAGTATTCATATTTTATTATTTATTTACATTCATGTCTTAGAATTAAATATGGACAATTCTAAATGTATTTTTGATATCTTATTTAAAGCAAAACAAAAATTTTGCAAATATATATATACATATAATATTATATAATAAATCTTACATTAATCCATAAAAAACAAAAATTATGTTAAATAATATTTTGTTGTAAAGTAGAAGAAAAGAAGAAAGTCAAGCACAAAGAAATTCTGAGTCTTCTGTTCAAGAGAATTCAACAATGCAAACAACTAATTTATAATAAACCTCTAATCTTAATTTAACTACATAAGAGGCTGTCTCTCGTAATACTTTTGCTTAGTTAGATTAAATTTACTAGCCTTTGTTACAACCTAATTAATAATTATCTAGTCTAAATGATATACAAAAACAGAGATTTCTTATTTAAATTACAGGAATATGGGTTTTTTAGGAAGCTATACAAATAATTATGTCAGTCATTACTATTTTAGATTTTAACTACGATAATTTGTTTTATAATTTTGACAAGGAAAAATATCGAGCATCATTATATCTCTTTTTCTTAATATCTGCTTTATAATTATTGCTAATCAGATTCTATAAACCATTTAGATGTGTACATATATAATATTATTACTAAGAAACATAATGCATTTTTTATATTCTTGATTTTCACAATCTCTTATGCTTTATGGATTAGTGGTCTCATAACTGCAGAACATACAGATATATGGAATATAGAAAGCTCTGTATAAATTGGTTTTGCCATTTTTATTGGTATTATATGCAATTTTCTCACCTTAATCACTATACAATTTCATTTTTCTTTGACCAAATAATAGATATCATTTTTTAGTAAAAAAATAACTTAATATTTATAGGATCAATCAAGTATGTCTTTATTCCTCCTTTTATATATGCTTTTATATTTTAAATATTCAATCCTTTTGATTATACAGCAGTTCTCATTTTATGGATGTCAACTGAATTATGGGCATTTACTTTTGGAGGCTTATATCTATATAGTGTAATATAAATAATAAATGGTAAAGTAAAGATAGATAAATTAATTTTAGTTTAATCTCAATCAAGATTAAACAATCTCTGCAGCACTTTTAGCATTTATTAACATGTTTTTTCCATTTGGACATTTTTGATATCATTATATTATATTATGTTTACATTTCTAAGTACAAATAAAAATAAAATTATTATTTAAAATAGAATAAAATTATTCATTTTCAAATGTGTCTCACTTTTTTGACTTCTTTTTATTTATATTTTAAAATCTATACATTAATTAACTCTTTATGTAAAAATATATATTTAATTGGAAAGAATATTATTAGAGATATATTCTAAAAGTGTTTTGATAAGTGCTACAATTTATAAATTCTAAGTAATAATTATTTTTTATAACTTTTATTGAATTTTATTTTATTTAAAAAAAACATTATGATTTGTTTTGAATCAAAAACATCCAAATAATGTAAACGATAAAGAATTATATTTAAAAAACATGATTTTGAGTACTAAGATTTATTATAAGAATTTAGTTATAAATAATATATCAAAAGTGACAAATGCTTATATATGTTTTAATTATGGTCTCACTTATTTATAAGTCTAAAGATTGAAGGGGATTAAGATTTCAGTGATCAAAAATAGTTTCAAATGATGATCCACAAATTTAGAATTTATTCAAATTTAATTATTAATTTTCTAATGTTATTTTCAAAATATGATCAACAATATTTTTGTATTTTAGTAATCAATTCAAAATCTTAAAATTAAACAGCAAAATTTTAAAGCAAATTATAAAATATTTGAAATTAAAAAAAATAAATATACATAATCTACTTATTAATAATATCTTTTTGATTAATATGTGTGATTAATAAAGGATATTGTGAATTAGTAACTAAATTAATATCAATTATATATAATTTAATTTAGCCATAAATGTTTCTACTAATAAAGGTCAATTTTCTTTTTCAATATATTATACAACTTATTTTTTATTTTATGAAATAGATTCATTTTTATGTATCATATAATATCTTTAAACTGTGGATAAATTATGTATATGTTAATATAAATATAGTTTTTGCATATAAATCAAATCTATAATAAAATAGATAATTCATCATCATTTCTTTTATTTAATCATATGAAAATATTTCAATGAAAATTTTATCTCATATTATTAATTATTCTTTTAATGGTGCTAGAAGCTTAATTATTAATTAAGAATAGATCATCGAATATTGTCATTCCTCCTCCTAATATCAAAAGTATTAGAATATATCTATTATTAGAATATGCTGATAAGACTGCTGAATATGTGGCAAAAAATGGAGCAACATTTGAAGATCTTGTTATGTAAAAAGAATTAAGCAATCCAAATTTTTGTTTTTTAAGAAGAGATGATCCTTATAGACCATATTATGAGAATAAAATTACAGAATTTGCAAGAGGGTTAGTGGGTATGAGTTCATTTTTAATTATTATTATAGCACCAATATAGGAAGAAGAAGATTAGAAAACAAAGCCTGCCCCTAAAAATGAATAACCTAAGAAAGTAGTTAAGGCTCCACCTAATGATTAATATACAGTTGAATAACCAAGAAATTTATCTGCTTTAGATTTAGACATTATTAAGCATACAGCTATTTTTATTGCTAAGAATGGTAAGAAGTTTTTGGTTGCCTTGACAGAAAGAGAAAAAATGAATCCATAGTATGATTTTTTAAAACCTACTCATGATTTATTTCAATTCTTTTCAAATTTAGTTGATGCTTATACAAAATGTTTATAACCAAAAAAGGAAGAAATTGATAGATTATTAACATATGTTTAAGATAGATAAGTAATATATTAAAGATGTCAAGAAAAATATGAATACGAGATTTATTTGAAAGAAGAAAAAGATAGAAAATAATAACAGGATGAAGACGAGAAATGTAATATTATTATAATAATAATATAGAATAAATGGCTATGATTGATTGGAATGATTTTACTATATGTGAGACTATCGATTTTGCAGAAGATGATAGAATAGATAAGGTTTATGAAAAGGGAATCTAAAGATTTGATAAAATGGATTTCAAAGGTGCTGATTAAACATAATTTTGTAATATGGTTGTCTATTTTTAGAGTAATAGCAAAACTTAGTATAGACAGGATAAGTTGTATCTAGAATTATTAATAATCCATAATAACCAAAAGAAAAATAAGTCATTACTTTAAATTCAACTTTATAAAAAGCAGGTCAATAAGGTGATAGTAGTGCTCCAATTATTTCAAATTATTAAAGACCTACAACATAAAATGAATTAGTCTTAATAAAATGTGAAATTTGTGGAAAGAATTTTCCAAAAAATTAAATTAATGAACACATTCAATTAGAATTATAAGATCCTCGTTATAGTGAAATTAAAAAGGAAATTAATGAAAGAAGCAAAACCACAACATTATAACCAGGTAATATGATTGCTGAACATCTATCCTAATTAAAAAAGAAAAGACCAGATATCTTTGAAGAAGATCATAGAAAGCCACCACCACCTCCACCACCTTAATAGAGACCATAACCTCCAAGACCAGCTCCTCCTCCCCCACCTCCTCCTCCAAAATGAATATTATTAATAATTTTACATAATAAAAATAATTGCTCCTTCATTTAGGTTGCTGTTAACTAGAAAAAGCAAGTTTTTGGATTCTTATAGAAATAGATTGCTCGATAATTATAACTGTAATACAAAGGTTGCAAAAAATTATAAACTTTGGCATTTATAATAATTATTTATAATATTATATATTCATTTTTATCAAATCTTTTTATAATAATTTTTTAATATTAATACCTAAATTTAAATAATATTTTATTAGTATTAATAGTCATCAAATTTTATAAATAATTAAATAGATTAGCTTAATATGAATAGAGCAAAAATGAATTAATTAATACCTTAAATATCAGAAAAGTAGAGAAATCATAGTAAGTTAATCATAAGAATAACAATAACATAAAAAATAATGATAATATCAAATATTAATATGATAATATTCTATAATGAGTATTTTTTGTTGCTTTGTTTCATATTAGAAAGGCTTTTTAGCAGATTATCTAATTAAATTAGGATCAAAAGGTTTCTAAGGTGTAGATGGTCTGATCAGCCTTGAATTCATATATATGTCGTTAAAAAAATATTTAAAATAAAAATGGAAAGTGTGAATTTTGCAGGAGATAATCCTTAACCACGTTTTGGTCACACAATTTGTGTTATAGCCCCTAATAAAATAGCATTATTTGGAGGTATAAATTATATCAAAATTTTAAAGGTGCTGTTGGAGATACTGGAAGGTATGTAATCACAGGAGATGTCTATATTGGAGATATAATTTTAAAAAAATGGAAGAGAATTGAAGCCAGTGGAAATGTNATAGACAGGATAAGTTGTATCTAGAATTATTAATAATCCATAATAACCAAAAGAAAAATAAGTCATTACTTTAAATTCAACTTTATAAAAAGCAGGTCAATAAGGTGATAGTAGTGCTCCAATTATTTCAAATTATTAAAGACCTACAACATAAAATGAATTAGTCTTAATAAAATGTGAAATTTGTGGAAAGAATTTTCCAAAAAATTAAATTAATGAACACATTCAATTAGAATTATAAGATCCTCGTTATAGTGAAATTAAAAAGGAAATTAATGAAAGAAGCAAAACCACAACATTATAACCAGGTAATATGATTGCTGAACATCTATCCTAATTAAAAAAGAAAAGACCAGATATCTTTGAAGAAGATCATAGAAAGCCACCACCACCTCCACCACCTTAATAGAGACCATAACCTCCAAGACCAGCTCCTCCTCCCCCACCTCCTCCTCCAAAATGAATATTATTAATAATTTTACATAATAAAAATAATTGCTCCTTCATTTAGGTTGCTGTTAACTAGAAAAAGCAAGTTTTTGGATTCTTATAGAAATAGATTGCTCGATAATTATAACTGTAATACAAAGGTTGCAAAAAATTATAAACTTTGGCATTTATAATAATTATTTATAATATTATATATTCATTTTTATCAAATCTTTTTATAATAATTTTTTAATATTAATACCTAAATTTAAATAATATTTTATTAGTATTAATAGTCATCAAATTTTATAAATAATTAAATAGATTAGCTTAATATGAATAGAGCAAAAATGAATTAATTAATACCTTAAATATCAGAAAAGTAGAGAAATCATAGTAAGTTAATCATAAGAATAACAATAACATAAAAAATAATGATAATATCAAATATTAATATGATAATATTCTATAATGAGTATTTTTTGTTGCTTTGTTTCATATTAGAAAGGCTTTTTAGCAGATTATCTAATTAAATTAGGATCAAAAGGTTTCTAAGGTGTAGATGGTCTGATCAGCCTTGAATTCATATATATGTCGTTAAAAAAATATTTAAAATAAAAATGGAAAGTGTGAATTTTGCAGGAGATAATCCTTAACCACGTTTTGGTCACACAATTTGTGTTATAGCCCCTAATAAAATAGCATTATTTGGAGGTATAAATTATATCAAAATTTTAAAGGTGCTGTTGGAGATACTGGAAGGTATGTAATCACAGGAGATGTCTATATTGGAGATATAATTTTAAAAAAATGGAAGAGAATTGAAGCCAGTGGAAATGTACCTACAAATAGAGCGGCACATCAAGCATTGGCTATTGAATTAAACCAAATGATTATATTCGGAGGTGCAGTTGGAGGTGGTGGATTAGCAGATGATAATTTATATGTATTTGAATTAAGAGACGATACAGGAACTTGGGTTACTGTACCTGTTATTGGAACAACACCAGGAAGGAGATATGGTCATACTATGGTGTTAATAAAACCTTACTTGATAGTTTTTGGTGGGAATACAGGTCAAGAGCCTGTAAATGATGTTTGGAGTTTTAATTTAGAGAAATCTCCTTATTCATGGCAAAAATTAGAATGCTCTTCAGAATAACCTGTTGTAAGAGTATATCATTCTGCTGCATTGTGTTCAACAGGTTCAGCAAATGGAATGATGGTTACTTTTGGTGGTCGTACAAATGATCAAAGTGCTTTGAATGATACATGGGGTTTAAGAAGACATCGAGATGGTAGATGGGATTGGGTTAGAGCTCCATATAGATCATAAACTGAGTAACCAGCTTAACGATATTAACATTCGACCTTATTTTTAGGAACATTAATGTTAGTTATAGGAGGTAGATCAAATAATGTAGGTGAGACTTTGCCTTTTGAAATATATGATACTGAAACATCTGATTGGTACAAATTTTAACCAATTCAGAGATTCAGACATTCTTCATGGTTGGTGGAATAATTTTTATATCTTCATGGAGGATTTGATTCAGATCAACCTAATATTCCAACTGAGGGAATTTTAAAAATTGATTTAAGTAAGAGATTTGCTTAAACACCTCAACTCTTAAAGTAAATGAATACAATTAAAGCTGATTAATCATTTACGTAATCTTTTAATCCTAAAACTTCTCAAACTTTAGCATAAACCTAAGATTAATTTAAAAAAACAAATTAATCAGCATTAGCTCAATAAAAAAGTAATTTTTACATTAAGATTAGATTAAAATTCATAATAATAGGTTAGAGTATCAAGTGCAATTAATAAAAATATTAGATTGGCTAATCAGGCATTAGTGGCTATGACTTATGGTCCTGAAGAAGATATAACAAATTAAGTAAAGAAAGTACCAATAGATAAATTATAAGATGAACATAAAAAATTAGGACCAGGATTTTAGGATCCAAATTCTTAAAATAAATCTTAATTTCTAGATTAATTGTGTCAACCATTTATGTAGAATCTATTAATACCTAAAGATTATTAATAAATTCCCCCAAATTCTAATTTATTAACAGGAATTAAAAAGGAAATGATTATTAAATTATGTGATGAAGTTTAAAGAGTTTTAGAAAAAGAACCAAATTTATTAAGATTAAGAAGACCAATTAAAATATATGGAAATTTAAATGGTCAATATTTAGATTTAATGAGATTTTTTGATCATTTTAAAGCTCCATATGATAATTTATATAATGGTGATATTGATTCTTAAGATTATTTATTTTTGGGAGATTATGTAGATAGAGGATCTAGATCTTTAGAAATAATTTTACTTTTATTTACATTAAAAATTAAATATTCAGATCAAATACATTTACTTAGAGGACATCATGAAGATCCTAAAGTTAATAAAATTTTTGGATTTGCTGATGAATGTTTTATCAAATTTGCAGAAGATATCATGGATCCTAATAGTATTTACTAAAGAATAAACAGAGTTTTTTAATATATGCCATTAGCTGCAGTTATTGAAGACAAAATCTTTTGTGTTCATGGTGGGATTGGTTAAACAATGAGAACTTTAGATGAGATTGAATTAATTTAAAAACCTTTAGAAATAGTTCATGATCCTAAGACTGTATTATTTAATATTTATTTAAGTATTAATAAAAAATAGCATTGGAACTACTTTGGTCTGATCCATGTTTGTAAGAGGAAGAATTAGAAAATTAATTAAATCCAGAAAGAGATATATTTTAAAATAAATAAATTTTCAGATTTGGAACAAATAGAATTAATAAATTTTTATAAGAGAATTCCTTAAATATGATAATAAGATCGCATGAACCAACAATGGAAGGATTTGAAAGGTAAAATAATAATGTAATAACTATTTTCTCTTGTCCAGATTATTGTGGAAATCAACCTTAATGTAAAGGATGTAAAAATATTATTCATATTTTTAAAGCTATTTTAACAATTTCTAAAAGAGGAGAAATTATTCCAAAAGTAATATTACCTGCTACTCCAATTTAAGAATAAAGATGGATGGATTTGGAAGAACCCATTTAAAGAAAAAAAGGATTTGCTAAGTACTTAGTTATTGACAACAATGAAGCTTTGTTAAGAAAACGTCCATCTACACCTCCTAGATAGAAAAGACCATTTTCTTAAAAATAATTCAAATGATTTAAATTAATGATTTTGCCATCTTCAATATCCCAAAATATTAATTAAGATATTTGAATTTTTCAAATTAAATTCATAAATAGATTTAGATATTCATTAAAATAGCTTGAGAAATAACATAAGTTGAATAGAATTTTTATATTAGGTTTGATTAATATTATTCAATTGTAAAAGAAATCTTTATATGATCTCAGCTATTCATCCTCTTAAGCTAAGGATAAAAATTTAACTTTAGTTGGTTTATTCTCTGGAATCAATTATTATTTAATTTCTTTCATTTTTTCCTCTATATTAAATATAAAATAATTACATTTTCTTCTTTCAAAATCTTCTTCAAATTTTCTTAAAGAATCTTCAGAAGCTTCATAAACAACTTTAGTTGAATGAGATTGACCCTTTAGTTGAATTAATTACACCTATTCTTATTCTTTTATTTCTTTATCTTTAGTTTGATTGTTTTAAATTTAGGTTTCTTCTTTCTTTTTCTGAACTTTTTAAGTATAAGTATCTTATGAAAAACTCTACATATAACCATCAAGCTTTTATGTAATTTTTTTCTCCTTTTATTTCACTTGAATAATTTCATCAATTTTAGGAATATCATCTATTAATGGACTTTAATATCCAGTTTATTTAAACAATTCTGGATCCTCCTATATTTTATTATCAATTTTAACTTCATTCACCTATTGATCTTATGATTATTCTTTTTGGTTTTCAATTTATGGAAATATAATTTCTAATTCCTTTTCTTTAACTGTATCAGCTAATTTTAATGCTTTTTTTAAAGATCTCACATGAGATTCTTTTTATTACAATTACATATCTATTTCTTCATTATTCAAAAATTAAGTTTCTTTATATTTAAGATTTTCTTTTATTTTACTATTTTATTCATTTGCTGATTTACTAATATTATTTTAAACTGATTCTTTTTATTTTTTTACAATATTTTTTTATTTTTACTCTTTTTAATTAATTGGAACTTTGTTAATTATTTCTTTAATTGTTTATTATTATATTTAAGGTTTCTTTTTTAAAACATCTTAAAGCAAAGTTAATTATAATTCAAAATCAACAGAAGATTATTATTATTATTTATCTTTTTAACTCCAAAAGTATTCATCATCATCATCATCTTCTTCTTCACTTAAATTATCATCACTCAATTCTTCTATTATATCATCATCATTTATTTCTTCTTAAAATTCTTAGAATTCCTCTTCAGATTATGATTCTTACACTTCTTATTCATCTAATTAATTCAATTACTCTATTATTGGATTTTCAGTTAATTATTCTCTATTCTTTGATGGTTCTTCCTCTTTTTTATATTAATCTTTATCAAAAAAGGTATTCTTTAGATAATTACAATTTTTACCAAATCAGTTAATGTTTCTCCAATTTTCTACTTTGTTTGTTCACTATTTTATTAAACCTCAATAAATAATATTTTAAAAATACTTGTTATAAATGACAATGATCTTATTTATCCTTAACTGCTTACTCTTCCACTAAATTTTGGAATGTCTGCATCATCATCTAATTTAAGATTATTTCCAACAATCAAACACATTCCTATAGCTGTTTATTATATATCATTTGTATTGATTGATAACTTTGCTATATTGATATTCTAATCTATAGAAATATTAACAAATCCATTATGATGATAACCAACAAGAAAAGCTATAGCTTCAACTTTTTATTAAAATTAAGGATATCTAAATATAGCTTATTAGGTAGCTCTGAAATTCGAACAGTTTATATAAACCTCTTCATCTGTAGTTGCTAAATATCTGTAAGTTGCATTCAAAGTGACAGCACTAAAAAATTGGATGATGAAATCATGCTAGGTTATATTTTTCACTTTTGCAAATAGAGCTGTTGTTGAGGTATGTTCTACCAATGCTAAAGCCACTTAAGGAATTTTTACGAATGGAGTATCAAATCGAACTAGCTATGATTTAATAGTATAATACTTGATTATAAATTTGTGATCCTTTGGCTTCCTCAAATTAAATAACTCCTATTTCTAACTCTCTTGTTACATTTGCATTTTAAGAAAGGCAAATGAAAATAAGTGTTATAATGATGAATGTTTTCATATAATTAAAATAAAAACGAATTTCTTAAACATAATATATTTATTATTTCTCTATTGATTATCAAGTCTTTTTGACTGAACTCATTATTTTTATTGAATTTAAATATTGCTATTTAGAATGAATTTCTAAATAAGTCATTTTAAAATGCTAATATTGTCTATTTATAATAAAAATGATAAAAATTGGTAAATCATGTGATTCTCAAATTTAATGAAATTAAATAAATCTAAATTTTATTCTTCTTAACTAGTTTCATTTTATTATTGGAATATAATACAAGTATATATTTAATCTGTTTCAAGATTATATAATGTAAATAAATTTAAATCTTATCTCTATTTTGTTTATAGATATTACATATACCTAAAATTTAGTATCTGTTAATTTGCACAATTATAATATTTATATCCGTAAAGACTTAAATATTTTATGTGGTTAAAAATAAGGATTTATATTTATAATTATTATTTTAAATTAATTTAAATAAAAATAAATAAATAATTCATAAAATAAAATAAGTATTATTGAAATACAACATAACAAACTAAGAAAATAAAGTGATTGAAATTTAGATAACTTTTAATTTATATAAATTCCTTTTTTTTATTATTCTCGTCATGATTTAATTTTGGGAAAATGAAATAATTTTCAAACGTTTTTTATACTAAATAATCTTTACTCTATGATATAATTAATGATTATTTTTAATTGATTTGATAATTACATTCAAACAGAACAAATTTAAACTTTATAAATTTATCTAAAGATTATTTTAATTTTATCAAAAATAAGTGTAAATTTATAGCTACTTATTTTTTGATAAAGAGCTTATATAAACTTTCTTTAAGAGAATGAAGAATATATAAATTATTAGTTATTCTTTTTTTAATCTTATAAAAGATTTATAATATATATTTTACCTAATATATTAAGAAATTTAAGTTTCATTTTGTATTTCTATTTAGATAATAACTAATTATTATTATTTTCTAAATAATAGATCTAAAAAGATCTATATTTATAATCTTAAAGAATAGTTTTAAAATCTTTTCTAATTTAATTCACTGTTAATCTTATTGATAAAATAATTTAAAAATTCTTCATCACATTAATTATTTATAAATTAAGAAAGGTAATTTTTAATTCTTTTTTATATAGTGATATGTTTATATATATATATATAACATATGTTAATACTATGATATATTGAAATAACAAATTTATTAATAAATTAAAATAAATGGGAGCTTAATGTTGCACTTTGCCAACTAAATTAACTGTTGATGAAATAGACATAGATAGCCAAAATTTAAGAGGAAGTTATCACACTCAATCTAAAAAATCTATTATAAAGAAAGATTAAAAAAGTGATGAGGAAATATTTAATAATCAAAAAGAAAAATATGAGGATTTTTAGATTCTTGGCTCTGCATCTTTAGATTTAAGATAGAATTAAGATTAAGTTGTTTGTTCTAATAAATTATATCAGAAAGAAGAAAGCCAAATAGAATCAAGTATTTTAGATCTATCGAAGTAGCTATCCAAAAAAGTAAATTTCAGAGGAAAATTACAAATTCTTCAGTTGGCTCTTTAAAATTAGGAGCAGAAGTGTTCATCAATCTTAAAGCAGGTAGCATTCATAAATATTATGAAACTGGAGAAATCTTAGGTTAAGGAGCTTATGGAAAGGTTTGGAAAGTGACGCATAAAAATACTGGTAAAAGTAGAATTGATTGATTTCAGGCATGATAAGAGCGATGAAGGGATTGAAAAAGAAATCAATAATAGTAGAAGAGTAACAAAGATTATTTGCAGAAATGAATATTTTAAAGAATTTGGATCATCCTCATATAGTTAAATTATATGAGTTATATTAAGATTAAAATAACTATTATCTAATAACTGAATATTTATCAGGAGGTGAATTGTTTGATAGAATAAAAGAATTTAATTATTTTAGTGAAAGAAAGGCAGCTGAATTAATGAGGTAAATATTATCAGCAGTTGTTTATTGTCATTAGAGAAGTATAGTTCATAGAGATCTAAAACCAGAAAATGTGTTATTTGTTAATGATACTTAATTATCTCCCATAAAGATTATAGATTTTGGAACATCTAGAAAATATGAATAAAATTAAAAAATGACTAAAAAATTAGGAACAGTATTATATATTACTAATATATTAGGCATATTATATAGCTCCTGAAGTATTAAAGTAAGAATATAATGAAAAATGTGATGTTTGGTCATGTGGAATCATTTTATACATACTTTTATGTGGATATCCTCCATTTACAGGTAAAAATGAAGATGAAATAATGTAGAAAGTATGTGAAGGAGACTTAATTTTTGAGTGTAATATTTGATTATCGACATTAGATTAGAAGAAGATTGGGAAATGATATCCACTGAAGTTAAGGATCTAGTAAGAAATATGTTATAAGTTGACCCAAACAAAAGATATTCTGCATTAGAAGCATTATCAGATCCATGGATTAAAAAGAATTAATCTAGTACTAAAGTAAATAAATCTGCATTACATAATTTGTAAAAATTTTAAGTATTTTTTCTAAATAAAATCAATTTAGGCATAATCTGTTTTTACTTAAGCTGTTCTTTCATACATTGCTTGTTAAATGACATCTTAATAAGAATAAGATGAATTAGCTAAATCTTTCTAATTCTTAGATAAAAATGGTGATGGAATTTTATCAAGGGAGGAATTAATAGAAGGTTACATTTCAGTTTTTAAAAATAAACAATAAGCAATTTAAGAAGTTGATAAGATTTTATCAATTGTCGATATAAATTAAAGTGGATAGGTAGATTTTTCTGGTAACTTTTATCATATTATTATTATCAGAATTTTTGATGGCAGCTATGAATTAAGAAAAATTAGTGTCTTTGGATAAAGTTAAGGCTGCCTTCAAAATTTTTGATGCAAATGAAGATGGGAAGATATCAAAAAAGGAACTAGAAATGATGATTGGAACAATAGAGGATGATATATGGTAATAAATTCTTATAGAATGTGGAGCATAAGGTGAAATAACAGAAAAATAATTTATAAACATTCTTTTGCATTAAAAGCATTGATTTTTTTACTTATAATTAATTTTGTCAATAATTTGACAATAATAGAAATTCATCGTTAAAATAATCAAAATATTATGCATGCTGAACAAAATTCTCTGTCTTCAGTTGAATTTCTATGTTTTAGATCTTCTCCTTAAATATAAATAATATCATCAAATGGTTCTATGATTTATTAAATGGAATTGTTTTTTAATTACATTTATTCTCTATATTAATCTTCTACTTTCTTTTATCTTTCTAATAATCCTTCCATCAATTAAATTCTTTATTCACAAGGCATTTGTAACTAAAATCTTAATTTTAGATATAGATTACCTTAATTCTATAGGATTTGGACCATCATATTAAGCATCTTAAGATTCATCTCTATAATCTAATGTTAATATACAAGGTTTAATTTATTCTTTTGAATATGTTTTTAAATCAAATGATACAAGAACTTCATCTAAACCCATATCTATTTTGCTTAAAATTTCAAATTTATCTCCTCCATCTATTCTTTTACCAAGAATAGTAAAATGTAAAGTATTACTTTCTGGTAATATTGGAAATGAACATGTTAAATCATCTCCATATGAATAAATTGATTTTTATTCTTATTAATTCATAGCTACTTTATATTTGATTTTATAATATCTAAATATCTCTGTTTTAAGACTTTTATGTCTAGTATAACTTATTGAAAGTCTATTTGGTTAATCAAACTTGATTTATTAATATTCTTTTAGAATTTAAATTTACTATTGTAAAGTTTGAATGGAATCAGTGATGATTCTTAAATTAAGTTTAAAATCCATAATTATTAAATGAAAGAACATAATAGCTTGTAAACATTCATTTACAAAATCATGAAATGTAATCTCTTCATATAATTTATGTTCTCTAATATCTTGTTTTGATGGTTTTTCTCCTTTCATAACTAAATACTTATTGGAGAGAACTTGCCTTTAAGATCTAATATCAGAAAATATACCATAAAAAACTATCTTCTGGAATTTTGTTAATAAACTCTTAGTTCATATATTCATTTAATGGATATCCAACTGATTATTCCAATAATGTTAATTTATTATTCATCTTCTCTTCTTCTTATTTGATAATTGATTTTCTTAACTCTTCCATTAAATTATCTATAGAACAGAAAACGATATAATATATTAATAATATATCAAAATATTAATAAATCAACATACACTATCAAATACAACTTTATCAGGATCAACTTATTTTGCCAATGGATTTAATTCATAAATAGTATTTGCAAGTTATTTTGATTAAAATGTTCTTATACCTTTCAATCCAATATATGATATTCTGATTGGATCATTTATTGTTGATTTTATATATAAAATAAGATTATTAACATTTTCAAATTTTGATATTTTTACAGCATTACCAAATAAACCATCTAAGTTTGGACTTAATATAAATTACTATATTTTTAATTATATTAATACTTCTACACAAGGTGTCTCTATAAGTCCAAAATCAACATTAGAAATATTAATATAAGCTTTCATTAAATTTGGAGCTGATCCTTCGTTTAAACTTACAATATTTATTTATCTGATTCTTACAGTCTCATTAAAAGGAATTATAACAATAATTTCTGAATCTAAATCAGATTATACATAATGATCCTAAATTATGGAATACTATATTTAACTTTCTTTGTCTTATCTATTTCTGGTCTAATGATCTATTTGATGTTTTATGCAGTTTCATTCAAACAATCAACTTTATCAATTTCTATTTGACCATATAAATCATCTGCATCTTCATTAAACATATATTCAGCACATCCACAATTTGGACCATGTTAATGCTGCATTTTAATTAAATTATAAATTTAATATGTATTATATATATTTATATTTGTTATAATAGCCTCCAATTTAATTTATTATTTAAATAATCAATTAAAGGGTAGTACTTCATTACTATTCTAATACAATTAGAAAATTAAAAAAATATTAAAATAAAAACAAAAATTTCTCATTTATATTCAATTCAAAATTTTTGATTAATTATGTAAAAATGATTGAATTATTTTTAATAATATAAATTTAATTAAATTTTATTTTGATGATATCATTATTGGGGTCACCCAAGGTGCTGTCTCCTTCGATCCCTGGTTTTACTAATAGCGTTCTATAGTAACCAGGGACGAGTGCTGACCATGATGATCAAAGAAATCAAAATAAAACAAAGAGGGTAAAAGTTCGTAACTAGGACACCCCTCTAGAGACCCGGTCGAGGCAAGTCCTTCGGAGGAAGATGTGCATCTAATATTTTTAATAATATAAATTAAAGTGAAATTGTTTTGATACAAAAGTATTTGATTTCTAATCTTTGGTATGTTTTTTAATGAACTTCTGTGATTAAGACTCAAAATTTTTGTATTATAATAAAACTATATATTTTTTGTCTGCTTTTTATTATTTAAATATAAGATGTTGGGATCAAAATAAAGAAGAAAAATAATTAAAAAAATATGAATAATAATTGTGGATATAAATATCTCAATTTAAGATCAAGCTTAATCCAACTATCATTCCTATTATTTGAATGCTAAAATTTTTACGTTAACTTTCACTATCATTTTCATTTTCACTTTTGCTTTCATTTTCATTTTCGTTTTCACTTTTACTTTCATTTTTGTTACTAATTTAATCCTCAAAAACTTTGAAATTTGGATTTGATGTAAATTTTGTGCAAGCTGTGCATTTGTTATTGTCCAATGACCATTTGTAATGAATCATAGTTTTCATCATACATGATAAAATATCAAGTTATTCTATTTCTGATGCTGTAGATTCTTAACAAACAGTACCAGTCCAAGTACATGGTATCCCTTTTAATCCTGGAATATCTATTTATGCATAACAATCTTCTTAAGTTGTAAAATCTGCACAACTTTTTGGTTGACATGTTTTTGTACTATCATTATAAGTACAATATAAATTACAATATTCCTTTACATCTGAATAATGTGAACAATTCCCAGAGAGCATATCATACTTTGTACATAAAGAATTATTATTGAAATAACACATATTTCCATTACCATCAGATTAATTACATGTTTCTTTGTTTGAAAATGACGAACAATCAAGACTTTGAGGATCTTTGCAAGCACGATTTGAATATATCATAGCACAAGTATATGAACTACAATCTTCAATAGTAGCAAAAGCACATGAAAATTTTGTGCATTTGTCATTTGCCCACATACAATCAAAACCATATAATTTTAATCCACAATCCTCTTCTGATATTTCACTACAAGTATAGGAGTGGGTTTCACATTTGTTTGATGAAATATTCCAAGAGCATTTATATTCAGACTTTGGTCCTGTGCATGTATCAGCTGATTTTAGGTAAGTACAATCCATGTCAACACAGGCAGATCCAGTCCAAACACAATAAGTTAAGGGTTTGCATAAAGTTTATCCATATTCACTGCAAGCACATCTTTAAAGAAGACTAAACTAAACACAGTTGCTCAAAGTTATCAAGCCAACGAAAAAAAAGATTCTCATTTTTATATTCTATTAATGACTATTTTATTTATAGGTTTATAAAATACAAAATAGAATCTTTTTTTGCTTATATAATTTTTTTAAATATGAATTGCAATTTGTTCTAGTAATATTTATAAAATATTTCCTCTAATAATTTGATACTGTTTCATAATATTTTTTGAGGGGTTTGTTTATTTTAAGAGCAATTCAAATGGAATTTCTTTATTTATATTATTGTTTTATCCTGCTCCAATTAGTATTAAATATTTTAACAACATATATGTTTAAATTATTACTAAAATATGAATTATTTGCTCAATAGAAGCAGTTTTAAACTTTACAACATAACATTATTTAAATTACATCAATTATATTTTCAATAAATATGTCATATTAATTGCCCCAATTTTTCTTAATTATTAAAATACTAATCAATTTATATAAAAAAATAGAATTTCTTCTATATATAACATTCATCAATAATAATATTAATCATCTGTTTTGAATTATTCATTATATTTATTTAATATAAAATAATATAGTTATATATATATATAATTATATGATCTATTCAATTTTATTAAACTGTCTTTTTAATAGTCAAATGTCATATAGAAATGTGATTAAAGTCATAACTAATTAATATTTAAATCATTTTTAAAGGTTGCAGCAAAGAGTTTAAGTTTAAATATTTAATTTTATTAAAATAATATAAAATATCATGTAGAAATACCTTTGAAACTATGTTATAAATTAAATATATATTATATGTTTATTATTTCTAATATTATTTTTATGTGTATTTTTTTCATGGTTAAAATTACTCATAAGTTCTACTTCCTCTTGTTTATCCCATAGAAGATGTTGTAGTAGTTCCACCTGTCCTAGTTACTACTTTTGATGTTGATACAACAACTTCCTATTAAAATTAAAAATATTAATATACCTTCTTTTAACCTTTTCTAAGTGCTTCTAATTCAGCTTGACACATGGTTAATTGTTCTTAACATTCATTATAATCATGATTGACTTTAATGAATTTCTATTTCCAAACTTCCACTTCAGATGATAAATATGTCACTTTTTCTTGGATAACTGTTTGTCCTTAAGATTCCAATTATTCATATCTAAGTCTCCAATCTTCAAGATCTCCATCTTTGACTTTATTAGAATAAACTAATCTTTCAATTTCTGATGACAACATAGCAATTTTAGTCTTATTTAATAGACTATATAAATACTTCATAATCTCTTAATTTAATAAGTAATTCATTATTTTCTTTTCTTAATTTACCATTTTCTTCCTACAATCTTCTAATTTGATCTTCAAGATCTTTAATTTGGCTTTCAAATCTAATTCTTAAATTGAAAAACTCTCTTTCTTTAGAAGCTAAGTCTTCAGTTTAAGAACTTCTTAATTAAATTTCACCTCTCATGGATTATAATTGCATTTATAATTAATCATTTTCTGATCTTAATTATCTTAATTGAGCCTCTAAGAAATCTACTTTAGAGTTATCTACTACAACTTTTTCTTTTTCAACTACTTTTTCAACAACTTAGACTTCCTTTCTCTTTTCTAATTCAGCAATTAAAGATTAGAGATATTCACATTCCAATCTCCAAGGTGCTTCAATTTCCTCTTTTGAAACAACAATAACATTCATGCATAGTGATTAAGCAGCTACACAATTCTATTGAACAGAATAATTGCCTTAATATCCAACTTATGGAATTGCAGCCATATTTGAAATATAACTTTATCCCCCAACGAATCCTTATGTTTATGTTCTTAAGATTTATTAAGATTACATTCTTGGAATCTTTGTTGCACTTCGTTACTCTACTTCAACAGTGGTTGTCTTAAAATAACAATTCATTTTACTTAGACCTTTGGTGTTTCCCTAGTGATTACTTATTCAACTCTATCTTAAGTGATACTTCTGACATTATCTTTGGTGCCTGAAGTATATTGTCTTGATGAAGATTATGTAACATATTATCTACTTTAGAAATCACTCATGTGAATGTAAATAAATTTTATTTATGAAACAAACAAATTAGTATTTTAGGTTTATAGTACTTTAATCATATAAAAATGTAGTTGTATTAGATTAAGAAAATATAAAAATCAAATCTATATACTTATAAGACATACATCAATAAAATAATATTAATAATATTTATATATATAATATAAAATATGTCTTTGGCTTTGGCAGGAGTGGTACCTCCATTATATGAAAGAAATTAAGAGGCTACAATTTATATTGGTAATTTAGATCAAAAAGTCACTGATGATATAGTATGGGAATTATTCATTCAATGTGGACCTGTAGTTAATGTTCATATTCCAAAAGATAAAATTTCTGGAGAACATTAAGGTTATGGTTTTGTGGAATTTAAGAGTGAAGAAGATGCAGATTATGCCATTAAGATCATGCATATGATAAAATTGTATGGAAAACCCATTAAGGTCAATAAAGCATCACAAGATAAAAGGACCTAAGAAGTTGGTGCCAATTTGTTTATAGGAAATCTAGACACTGAAATTGATGAAAAAACACTTTATGAAACATTCTCTGCTTTTGGTCATATCTTATCCACAAAAGTAATAAATAATCAATTTATTATAGATTATGAGAAATCCTGAAACAGGAGTATCTAAAGGTTATGGTTTTGTGAGTTATGATAATTTTGAATCTAGTGATGGTGCTTTGACAGCCATGAATGGATAATTTTTAGGAACCAAAATTATTCGAGTTGAATATGCATTCAAAAAGGATGCTAAAGGAGAAAGACATGGAAGTTAGGCTGAGAGATTGTTAGCTGCTAATAGACCATTAGCATAAAAAGCACTTTTAGGCTTTGTTGGATATATGCCAACAGAATTGAGAATTCCTTTACCTCCTCCTCCTTCCATATAAATTCAACCTTTGCAAGAAGGATACAAACCTTTCCCATAACAACTCCCTGTTCCACCTCCACCTCCTCCTGGGATTCCAAAATGATTTTAAACATACATAATATATTTAGTTATTCAATTATTTTTCAATTATTTATTTTTTGCTTTTCAATAACTTAGGCATATTGTTTAGTTCTTTATTAAGAGTCAACAAGATAGAAATGCAATTCTTCTATATTTTATTCATATTCTGTTAATGTTCTTGTATTCAGAATTTCAAATTTCGGTTTGGGAACTGTAGTCATTTCTGTAGACAAAGATTGCTTTGTTTATTATCCATTTTACTCCATTTATTGTAATAAGTCACCTAAGAAATTTATTCTATTTAATCTCTCTTCTTTG